AATACCGAAACTGTTAAGTATACCACAGTTATACTCGATTGAATGCGTCAAAACCAAAAGCTTGAAAATATCTGCAGTTCGAAAGCTTCCAAGGTGTTTTGAAAGTTATTTTTGTCAGTCTGTTTGCAAGCTGATCAAAAGAAAAATAAAAATGGGATGTTGTATGTAAAGTTGTGAAGAAAAAGACGACCAAAAAAAATCTCAAAAAGAACTAAAAATGGGGTTGAGAATTTAATCGATTGATTTTTATCTTTTTAATCAGTTGTATCGCCGAGTTCACATTACTGTTTGCTATCACGGGGTCAAAATGGTCACTGATTGGATCAATACATGTCTGAACTGTCATAAGTCCTTTCAATAAAAGATATTCGTTTGTTAAACGTTCTTTCGTTATTGAGATATTAACTTGTAGAACTTGCTCGCAAAAACTCTTAAATTAAACGTTGCCTGCTTTGAATCGTCTAGCTGCTATGGCTGATATGTCCAGTATTCCTGGGATTCTTTAGCGTGAGGTCTGAGTCAGTTAGTTGGTAAGTGCTGGCTGGCTGTTCACACTCTGAAAGCTGCTTTGTAGGTTTCCAAACAAATTGAAAGAGAAAATGAACTGTAAATAAGTGATTTTTTTATTTGATCTTTTTGAATTTTTTGAAATAAAAAAATAATAAATTTATTACATAAAAGTTACACAATTGTAACTTTTGTTGAATCCACAGGGTTTTCTCATTCTCACATACTATTCTCACATACTGTATTATCTTTATTCTCGTTAAGATTGTGGTGTTTATTATAATAAGCTTTTAAGTTTTGGATATTTTGTCGAAAGTAATAATTCAATTTTTAATTAATTTACCTTAATTTATTTGTTATATTTTTATTGTACAAAATTAAATATAAAATTAAACTTTATGTTTTTCATGTTTGTAACAAAATAATACTTAAAAACAACTCTTTAATTAAACGAATCAATTATTATAGAAATTAAATGTATTTTACAAAGAATTTCGAATCTATAATTAAATAAAAATACACAATAACAAAAATACAATCATTTCAAATTATAAATTAAATTATTATTTTATTTATCAAACTTAAATATCAGAAAGAAACAATTTTTATTAAATTTATTGTATTGATATGGTATAATATTTTAATATATACTTGTTTTAATAATTATTTGTGTTGTAAAAGATATTATTGTTAAACCTAATTTTTTAATTATTTTTATAATTGAGACCCATCTTAAATACAAAACAGTAAACGGAATAACATCTTTATTGACAAATTTCTATATTTATCATGTCGAGAATGCCATAATTATGTTCAACGATATCTTTGTTAAACACTTTCATTTTCTTTAATTTGTTGCATTTATAAAAAGCGTTTTCTTTGAACACTTTCACGCTTTTTGGTATTGTAATATCTTTTAATAAATTATTATTTGCAAATGCCATATCTTCTATAATTTCGAGGCTTTCGGGCAGTGTGATCATACTTAGCCTGTTGTTCGTAAACGCAAAAGACGATATTTTAGTCACCCCAAATGGCAAATTCAATGAGTACAAGCAGCAATGCAAACACATTGATTGTGGGAGATTCCATACGGTCTGTGGAAATGAGATGTGACTTAATCTTGTTGCGTTCTCAAAAACATTATTTTTAAATTTAATAACTGTTGGTGGTATCACTATGTCTG